TCGATCTTTTATAGACTTTTCAATGCTTCTCTATTCTTTTCTTTAGAGAATGCTTTAGACATTGCAGGTCACAGAAATTATCCTACCTACAAGATCCAACGAAAATCTGCTTTGTTTAATGTTTGTGAAGCTCCAATAAAACCATCAGCTATAGTCTTTTTTTGTGAATTCTATAAACAGAACAGTTATTTTTCTGAGTATACTCCACCGCCCATACATACATAGTTTCAATTTATCAGGAGGTAGGAGTATTTTGCAAGCTTTATGCGCTGATTTCAATATGGATAAGGCCACCCCATCCACCACCCATCCACCCCCTACGCAAACACACAGACGCAGAGACGCAACAATTTGTGCTTTAACGGCAGTTTTCCCAATACGCGAGCACTTAACAGACAGTGGTCCCTGTCCCACGCTCCCCACTGTTTCCCAGCAGGAGTGGAAATAGGACGACAGGACTTGTCCCTGTAAGTATACGGACTGCTGGCAATCTCTTATGTGGATTTTTTTTACGAGTTGCCCAAAATGCCGGCATTTGACTTATGCACACTTGCTCTGGCACTGGCTCTCGATTCAATATACGAGTATGTATATCTACCCCTCGCTATGGTGGGGTCTCAATAAAGATTGTCCTAAAAAATCATATATGGTAGGTATGTGCACAGAGTGGATCCTGAGATCTAAGGCACGGGTCCAGGACTGAGGGAATCGCTTAGTATTTCACTTACGCGTGCCATCGAACCGTGTGGCTATGGTGTCCAGAAATGTGTTTTGGGGCGCTAGCAGCCCCTTGCGCGCTGGCATGGGAATCGTGGGGCCGGTGCGCCTATAAAAGCGCTGCTTCGGTCGTGGCAATGCTGCAAAGATACATAAAAGATAGTAAACATCAGTTGTATTATGCATATGTAAGTCTTTTCATAAATTTTTTAATTGGCCTTTTTCCTTTCATACCCATCGCATTGTTGTTGCCCCTGCGATGTGTTTTCATGTATGTAAATTTATGGGTATTGAAATATTGGTCCACACTTTTTTATACGACAGACAGACACTGAACTAATATGGAAAATAATTCGAATCCATTTAATGCGCAGGCAAAAACCGGCAACAAGTCCGGGCCACAAACAAATTGGAAATACATCAATAGGGTCTTCTCCGTATTGGTGGTTTATTTCAGTGCCTACGTCAACGTAGGCGCCGGGTCGTGTAGGTGGTCGTGTAGGTGTTAATTTTTAGACAACGACACCAGAGATACCCTTTCGGATCCATCGTTTGGCATGACAGATAAATGCGATTGTAAGAGGGGCATGTCCAGAATAGCTAAAAAAAAGTTTAATTGTAATTCCTTTTGGAAGGGTATTAAAATACCAGCAATAGAGGAAGACAAGCCACAGCAGCGGCAACAGCTGTTAATGTTTTTTCATGGAAAAAATGTCGGGGAAATGAGAAAAAGTGAAAATGCGATAAGAGCTGGTTAAATACCAATCGCTGACGTCAGCTGTCGTCGTAGGGATATGCATTAGGGCGGTGCAGGAAGCAAGAAGCAAAGAAAATTAAATTTGTAAGGAAAAAATAGAGGGGAAACATGACATTTCACTTTATCATTTCTGTAAAGGTTGCTCCGGAACTCAAAAGTCAGGAACTCTTTCATCATTGCATAGATTGAAATAGAGCGAAACCACAAGGCCCCAACACACCTTGACCGTGCGACTGACGTTTGCTTTAAGGGATCACAAACCAAGAGAAAAAAGGAGAAGCGAAGCGAAGAACTTTGATGCACAGTGGGTCGAGCACATTTACATATATGTACAGTGGAATAATGTATGTATATGCGAAAGATAATTTATCTAGTTTTGCCCATTGCCTAGCTGCCTGGGTCACCCTACTAAAACAGTCAGTCTAATTAAGTTTCGATGATAACGCATTCCAGGCACCGATGAAGACCTGTCAACTACCCCCAATAGCAGCTGCAGCCCCTAACCTGGGCCTAAATTCAGTTAGAACGAAAATGCAATCATGATTAACTTGCCATTAGAAGAGGACCACCACCATGCTGGCATGGCTTTACAGTCCTTGCTGTGACCACAAAATACACACACACACACACCCATTGGATGGTGGTAGGTGGGCGGGGAGTATGCACAATAAGGATGTTGGGTTAGACCGCAATATTTTCATTTCCAACATTTCCGCAACAACCTGTCGAGTAGGTGTGTCCCCAGCAGGTGGCAGAAGCATATGATTTCAAGAGTTTGGTAAGCCCTGACACACACACACACACACGCACAAACACACTATACTATGTTTGTGTGCGTTCCATTTCCGTTTCCGGCTTATTCCACATGATTAGGCTGATGCTACTCGGCAGCTGCTCCACCGCGTCCTCTTCCTTACGGGTACTGGGTCGACGAGGATGCACAGCGCTCAAATTTCTTTGGCAAACGTGGTTTTTGCATAAAATAATCAATATGAACGTACCCCAAACGAGAAATCAAACCTCAAAGTGAATTTCCATTTCGATAAATGAAATTGCTCTGAAATTGCATTCAACACTGCGTACATCTAGGAAATAAACACCAGAAAAGTATGCAACAAATCCACAATAAATAAATATTTTTTATTGATTGCTCTTTTGGTTTATTTTTTTTTCGATAAACTGCTCTGCATTGATTTTAATAAAATTCGAAAATACATACTTTTTTTTTGTAGCTTTATTTGCGTTTGTTTGTTGCTTTTTTCAGCATGCACTTTACGAAGATTAAATTCTGTGGTTATTTGCATTCAACTGATGTCAAATTGAATAGCCAAAAACGGACGGACGGACAAATCTTATATAATCCTATACTTCTCGAGTACCGGGTCTAAAAAGAGGGAGTCGTAGACAGAGTTAAATGCCATAAACTCAAAAAATGTTTCCTTTAAAAGAGCTCGAGTTCTCTCGAAACTAAAGCCTGATCTGCAGGACAACCCAACAGGAGAATTGCATGACTTGTCAATCGTTTGACACAATCCCTATTGGAGCTGAGGTCTAAATAATGGAACAATGAAAGGACTAGGGTTTTCAGCTCTTATGGTCCCCCTAAGGACAAAATCGTTGCCAAGAATAGAAAAAGTCCACGTTAAGAAAACAGCACTTCCAGGAAGCTCAACCGTAGTATGATGCTTGCCCAGAATCTTTAAAGCAGATTAAAAAGGCAACTAAATTCTCACTCGTGTGGCCCCTGCCGCCTGTCCAGCGTTCATTTAAGCAAATTTGGCTTATTCGGTGCCCATAAGATGCTGGCCAGGAGTTCGGAGAGTCACCTAATAACCAGCGTTGAGACGAAATCGCCTTGTAAGAGGGCGAAACGAGTTTGGAATTTTTAATTCCACCTTCCGCATGTGGCAGCTGAGAACGGCACGTGCCTCATAAAAAAGAATATGGGTGGGGGCAAGGGCCAGCGGGGAGGGGAAATGTGGAAATACGTTAATATATTTTTGGCATTTCCATTGGCAAGCGCACACTTGGCTGACCAATAGCCAGGGAATTGAATGCTGTGGAATGGAGGGCAAAACGTAACCAAATTGGCCCAAATTTTATTCCGCCTTCTTGCCACATGCCACTCGGATAAGGGAGTCATCACTCGTCCGAGCCATCCTTTTTGTGAGTGCGTCGTCGCTGTACACGGCTCTGGATGAATCCCCGGATCACTTTGTTCCCATTTGAGATGAACTCGAACCACAGGTTCATGTCAGCCTCAAAATTGAAGGCGGGCAAGGCCTGCATATCGGATCGGAAGCCCCGCACATAATACATCACATCCTTCGGCCAGGGACACCGCTTCGGGACATTGCTAAAGCGATCCATACGCTCACGTCCCAGCTGGATGAAGACGATCTGGTTCTTGTTCGACAGCAGGCTGCAGCCATCGATGCCCGTGAGATTGAACAGGGTGAAGTCCTCGCCCGAGTTGCGCGGCAGGACGATCCGCATGTTCACCTGAAACCGGACCACCGGCTGGCGGAACATCAGCTCAATGCTGAAGGAGGGACGACGGACGCTCTTGCTCAGGCCGCACTGCAGGTGCGACAGCATCCCCTCGGGATCCTCGCTGCGGCACGTGCAGTTCGTGAAAATCATATCAAAGTTTGCCTGCGGGGGATCTGTATTCATTTGAATCTCCATTTAGTATTCATCAGGCTATACATTACCTTGCCCCAGGCTCCCTGCTGGAGACCAGCAAAGATGAGAAGAAATATTGCGCCAAATTTGAGATACATTAAACCACAACCGAAAACAAATTGCGAATGAAAGTATATCTTTTTGTCCGAAGAATAATTACAAATTCTTTCTAATCGCCATGACTAATTGCTCTCATTTGTGATTAGTGATTTTTAGCGGCTTATTTTAATGGGCAACGCGTTAATTGACAAAGTGATTACGAGTGATTAAGCAACCCATAAATGATCCGATTATAATTATTATTATGGAGAGAGAGAGAGAGGGAGATGGAGTGTTAGCCCCTGGTCGATGGGTGAAATTAGGGGAATGGGACTTATATGATGATTCCATTTAAAATTCCATAAAAATACATTATTTTTAAATATTGAATGGAAAAATGCACTCTTTTTTAATGTTATTTCCTTTGTAGTATTTTTTTCGAGCTACAGTCTGTTGTCAGTCCTAACTGGTCATATATTTTAAGAGCAAAAAAGGGAAATACTTAAGATTATTCAAATTGGAACCTAGACAGACCTTTGCGGGATGTATGGGTATTATTTTGGAACCCTGTCTTTGAATTTCCTTGCATTAGATCCAGCAACAACAGATATCCCTATTGATGTACGTTTTCTTGTACATATGCCCCACTATCATAAAGATTATTGTTATTATTATTCAAACATTAGTCACGGCTCGGCGGACAGAATCATTGGTAATATTCTAGTGCCGGCCCTGCATTTTGGTCATCAATTACAGTTTACTGGCGTAACCGGCTTGGTTTTTTTGCGAAATGCGGACTGAAATGTGGCCAGAGACATTCGGGGTGCTGCTAGGAACCCTTTTTGTGTGGTTCTTTTGTTTGGAGCTGACAGTGGAGGCCAAGGTGCGTATGAGTGATGCGAAGAGAGAAATGATGATTGATGTTTGCCTTCGAGCAGAACGACTTTGAGCTGCAAGTCGATAACTTCACCTGCAGCAGCCAGGACACGGACTACCGCATTCTGAAGGAGTTCCGATGCGGCCTGAACAAGAACGCCAAGCGTCGGAGCTGGTACATGGAGTTCAAGCTCCAGGAAGTGACCAGCGAGCACGAGGTCTTCATGACGATCGTCCTGCCCCGCCGCAAACCCATGCCTGAGTTTGTCCTCCTCAACCTCACCACCGACGGCTGCCAGCTGCTCTCAAACCGCAACCAGGTGCCGCTCATGCGCCTCGGCCGCAACATCATGGAGCGCTTTAGCAACTTCCCCAAGCAGTGCCCCTTCGAGGGCGATGTCCTATACTATATACGCGGCTTCCGCTTGGATCTCAGCCTCCTGCCTGCCGTCGAGATGGAAACTCCGGTCCACATAGAGTTCGGATACCAGGCCAAGTCACAGGGTGTACTATGGCTCCAGGGCAACCTGGCAGCGCGTGTGCAACGGATGAGCGAAAAGAAGCGCTCCAAGAAATCATAAATGGCAACATATAAGGGGAAAAAACATGTTTATATTAAAAACATGAAGCTTGGTTAACCGCAACGTCTAACCCTTAAAATACATATGTATAAAATATTTCATATTCCTATGTGTATCGATTAAAGCTAACTAAAGTGCGATTATGCAGAAGTACTAGGTATTATCCATACCCTGGTTAAAAATTAGAGAAATACCAGATTGTTCTTGCTAATAATGTTTATAAAGTTTGGGTTAAGTAAGAGATATATACACACACTTAAACAAGGTTTAATTGGATTGGATTTTTCAGCTTTTCGGCTACACAGTATACCAAACAGTAATATCCCCCATTCACAAGTGTACAAACGAAATTTATTAGGCTATGACAAATCAGCAGAAAAGTAGCATATGGCCGTGGAGTTAATATTGCAGAAAATCATCATCCACCACCTGTCGTGGCAGAAAAATCATCAGCCTCCACCTGTCGTGGCCAGACACGGAATGCCGTCTACGGAATCAGCTGATGCACTGCCCGCTCCCCTTTCAGGCCCCGCCATCGCATCCGTTGTTCCTTCATCTGATGCCGCACTCGGTGCTATTCCGTCCATGTCACTCCACAAAATGTTTTTCAATTACCTCCACAAAGAAGGCGACAGACAGGGACAGGCACAGAGACGGCTAGAGGGACACAATGCGACAGAGACGTAACGGAGACAGAAAGAGATAGATAGAGAGGCACTGTAACGGTATTTTGCCGAGTGTTTGTACGACTGACAGATGGCGCACGGGACATACAAGACAGAAGCCAGAGCAACAGCTGCCACAATTTGTCGTTTGACAGATGACGCGGCAATGGGGCAATACGGCAACGTAGAGAAGAGTGAAGAGTAAAGAGACAACTTATAACGTTTGTCAAAAGTTCGGGAGGGCAAAGGGAAATGAAATGAGAAACGAGGACGACAATGTCGTCTTTTGATGATTTCTTACAGCCACAGCAACAGTTAGAGCTACCGTAGAACAGTCACCGTTTTTAGTAGATGGACTTTCGACGACGGGCCATGTGTTGCAGACATTCTCAATTAAGATCCCCCTTCAATCATCGAACATTCTCTGTCAGTCCCCCAATCTTTCATACTGATACACCCATACACACACATTCATTCTCCCACATTCTCATGCACGGCTTTGATGTCACTCTGGTATTCTATCGCACCAAACTTTACCCCCTCTCTACACCTTACCCCTCGCTTTCTAGCATGCAGCTCTGCAGCAATGTATGTTAATTAGACGACAGTGATTCACTCCCCCTCTCACTCTTTCTCTGACTCGTTTTGTGGCTCTCTGTTTGTGTCGTCTCGTTACAATGAATTTGAGTTAACACCTGCCCTTCCCCCAAATCCCTGACAACCGATTTGATGGGCCGAAACAAAACATGTTGCCTCCAGCATTGAATTCGTTTTAGAACCCTTTCAACAGCAGGCTCAAAACCAATTAAGGCCAATCCGAAATTGAACGACGTACGCTGTCTGCCACACGCCCCCACACAGAGACGTACAATTGCTTCAATAATTATTAGACACATTTGCACATGCAAATAGATTTGAACCCTCTTCCAAAGCTCCTCAAGCCATTGCAAACAGAAGCTGCCAAAGATCTCCAGAAAAGAAACCCAAGCACTGTACTGGCGACGAAATGAATTTCATGTACTAGACATACATCGTAATTTACTCTTACAATGGTGTTCACACAACGGAGGCAAGGACAAAGGAGCTACTGAAGGATTGCTAGTCAACATTTTTCCAAAAATATGAAAAGTGCCAAGTCATTTAATGACGAATGGTTATACATACACACATAGATGGATGGGAGAGAAAACGGAAGAGCGAAACAAGAAAGATGAGTAGAAAAATCTCGTTGGAAAAATGTTTGGGAAACCTTACGAGGAACATCATGGGAACATCATTATGACAACATAAAGGCAACGGAAGAAGAGGCTGAAACAGATTTGGGCACCAACAAGAAGTTACTTTTCATCTGTCTGTCAAGGAAACCATCCTTCGTCATTGTCCAAATACGAATTATATTGCTGTGGCCCCTTTATTTAACTTTATCTAACACCCTGATAAGTTGCCAAACAGATTAGAGTCTTGAATTTTTAATCAGTTCCGTTGCCAAAACTGTTTCCAAACAATTGAAAGCGAAGCCAACCTAAACTTTGCTAAGCCGAGACCCCACACATTTCTGTGGTTAAACCGCGGCTAATGAATAGTTTGAGAACCTGTGCGTGCGTGTGTGTGAGTGTCTATGTGATGTTTTGTTCTTTGCCACAGAGCATTTAAGTTGAAATCTAAAAAGTGAGGGTGCTCGGTTAAGCCTTCCCAGCGGATAATTAACACGGCCCTCACAATCCCGTTTATGGCCCCAGCCGTGGGCCCGACTTTCTGCCCAACTTTGGCCATAATGCATACAGAAAAGTACTCTCCGCCATTTACCACCATCAAGCCACAAAACAAAGTTGTGAGGTTTTTAAGAGAGTTCTGTACTTGTGCCAAAGTTTACTTTTTGGCGGGTCTCCTAAAACTTTTTCACGTGTCCTGCTGAAAGCTTTTCCTGCCGGTCTTTAATTCGATTCCCGCTCACAAAACAGAACAAAGAAAATCTTGACTGTCTGTCTACACGAGCACACACTTTATAATTAATTAAAGCAAGTTTGTCTTTCTGCTTGAAATCTGCAGCACATTTGCCATGTCTGTGTGCTGAATATCCGATGAAAAATGACATTGCTGGGATAAATATTTTCGTAGAGGGAACTCAAGAGTCACGACAAAGTACAAACAGTCGACGTTTTTATGCTCTTTACCTTATTATCCCTAATCCAACACATAGCTTAGCAACTTTACCCAAAAGTTTACCATATGTGGATAAGAGGTAGTGCTAAAATAGTTTTGGTGATGGTATAACCGTGCTGGAAGCTTCTACCTACTCCAAAGACTAGTTTGTACAGGGAAAATGACTAACAAACTTTGGCATTAAAAGTAATTTTCCAATTGTTGTCGTGGCCAAAGTGCAGAAACGGTGAAAATTGTGAAAATTCATATTTTTTATTCTTCCCCATCCATGCAAAATGCCGAAGCTCTTGTTGTTGCTGCTTCTGCTGTCAATTTCACAGATTAATGCGTACACATTTTCATGGAGAAAAGCCAGGAGCAGGACCATGGTCTGAACGGTGATTCGGTACTGAGAAAGCCGCATTTATTATTGACAATGGCAATGGCAAAAGTTTTGCCCCTGACCAGACGCCGAGAGCGACCAAAATTGATTTACAGTATAGATATAGATATTTTAATCATCAAAGCCCACGGGCTGGCCTACCCCAAGGCCTGTTAGTTCTTGGCTGCGTCTCTCCCCAGGCGCATTTATGACCAAAAAGAGAGGTGGAGGAAGTAGACGAGAGTGGGAATGGGAGCTCAAAATACAATTTATTGCCTTGTAGGCAAAGGACGAACGGAGGATGGACTGGAAGGGATGTTTCAGGCAAAGTTTCGATGTTGTTTCTGTACGAGTAAGAAGCTTTTCTAGACCGTACGGACGGCTTGCTTTCAGCAGTTGTGAAATTTTGACACCATTTGAAAAGTGAATACTTAATTTGAGAACTTTTCAAACAAACCCACCCAAAGTTAATGCATTCTTCGGCCTCATAGAATCCTAATCTAATCATTTTTGCGGTCAAGAGAGCCCATAATTAGTTGCATTCAAAATAAAAAACCCGAACCAGGCGTAATGTTCTCTTATCACCTCTTAAACGAGTGCTATCTGCTTAGGGTTTGACCATTTGGATATCGTGAATACGGTTTGCGGTTAGATTTTCGAATGTTTCGAGCTCTGAGTAGACTATATAAAGCCAGGGACTGCGTGGAGACAGCACAGTGCGCTCGTAGCCTGACATCGAGTCACATTCACATTCCCAATTAAAATCGTTTCTGGTGATAGCTGAAAATGACCAATACGGATCTGAAAGCCTTGGAGCTGCTGTTCCAGCGTCCCCTGGAGCCGGTGTTCACCACTCGGGACCAGGGAAAGGTGGTGCTCGAGTTGCCGGACAGCTTCTACACGGATCGCTATCGCAACGACACTGTGGCTGTGTCCAATCGTTTCTCGCAGGATGTGGACCTGAAGATCCCCGTGCAGGAGTTGGCCAACAAGCCAAACCTGGACTTTGCCAAGAAGTTGGGCCGGAAGAACCAGTTCTCGCTGTTCAACGATCGCCACAAGGAGATCGCCAGTCAGCTGATCACCTTGTTCATGGGTGCCCCCAATCTGAAGCAGTTCGTGGCCCTGGCAGCCTACACGAAGTAAGTCCTGAGCTGACAACCGTCCTTGGAGGATCAATGACAACCGCTCTTCTCTCTGCAGGGATCGCCTGAATCCGGTTCTCTTCCAGTACTCTTATGCCGTCGCCATTGCCCATCGCCCGGACACGCGTGAAGTGCCCATCACCAACATATCGCAGGTGTTCCCCAGCAACTTTGTGGAGCCCTCCGTCTTCCGCGATGCCCGGGAGGAGGCGGCGGTGATCGGCGACAGTGGGGAGCGTATCCACGTGGACATACCGCGCAACTACACGGCTTCGGACCGCGAGGATGAACAGCGCCTGGCGTACTTCCGCGAGGACATCGGCGTCAACAGCCATCACTGGCACTGGCACTTGGTGTACCCCACCACCGGGCCCATGGAGGTGGTCAACAAGGATCGTCGTGGCGAGCTCTTCTACTACATGCACCACCAGATCCTGGCCCGCTACAACGTTGAGCGGTTCTGCAACAACCTGAAGCGCTTGCAGCCGCTGAACAATCTGCGAATCGAGGTGCCCGAGGGCTACTTCCCCAAGATCCTCTCCAGCGTGAACAATCGCACGTATCCGGCTCGAGTGTCCAATCAGCTGCTCAAGGACGTGGATCGCGAGGATGCTAGCATTGAGATTGGCGAGGTGGAGCGCTGGCGCGATCGCGTCCTGGCTGCCA